ACTTTTTAAGTTGATAAAAATCGGAAGCCTTTTTCTTGATTTTCTTTTATGTTCCATTTGTTTTCAGAAATACTGCGGAGTGAGGAACCTTTCCGTGCATTCATTAACACCTAGCTACCGAACAAACAGGTCAAATTGAGAAAGATGTCGTTTACATTCAATCCTTTTATTCATACTAATATTTTTGATTCTCCGAGTCCCTCTTCAAGACTGCCGTGTTAAGGAAAAACGCCGTATGAGCCTTCAGGCGTTACCAAATCTCCTATAATTAAATGCGAATTTGCTGGAAAACCTGTAGATATTTTTCTTCCAATTTTTCACAAAATTTAGGTTGTAATTTAATCTTCGGAATGTGAAAATTTCAAGGAAAAGTACTGAGAACTCACCTCCAAAATGAACATTTTATTGAAGAAAATTTGGCATATCTTTAATGTTCATACGGCATTTTTCCTTAGCACGGTGGAACAGGCATGCGAATTGCTTCCGAGTAATATTTTTTAGAGCATTTTATCCTAGAATTTATCGCGCGGAACGAGTTGAGTGACATTGAAATTGATGGTTTTCACTCTATTTGCTCGCTTCCGAGATTTAATTGCGTGACATTCTAAATGAATCGACACCAAATCGCAAGCTGACAAACGACGGCAAGGTCAAAGGAAATTAAAAGAGCACACAGAAATCGAGACAAACAGCCCCACTCCATGGAATCGGGAATCGGAAACCGGAAAGGAATGGGATGTCAGTCGTCGCTGGCGGGAGTAACGTAACCTCCGATAGAAACTATGTGCGGATACGCGGTTTTGAGCTTTTTCCACAGGAAAGCAGACGTACATACAACCGGATGAGCTACTAATTGAGCCTCATTGATTGTCAAACGATTTGTCTCTTCACTCTCTAATAAATTACGCGCTTTCATTTGAGTGCCCTCTAATAACGGAAACAGCCCTCGCTCCTCCCTCGTCTCTTGTTCAGAGAACTCATCAAATATTGTCCTTATCTATATATCATTTTGGCTTCCGATTATTTAATGCAATTTCTTCGCACAGCACCTATTCCTTAAATTTGTTTTTCGAAACCAAAAAAGAGGGGGGAGAGGGGGGAGAGGGGGGAGAGGAGGGAGGGAGGGAGGGAGGAGGGGGAAAGAGAGAGGGAGAGAGAGCGAAAGAGAAAGGAGGAAATGAAAGATAAATAAAGAGGGAAGAGAGAAAAAAAGAGGGAAACCCCCCCGGCCAAGAAACAAAAGTTAACATTTTCATCTGAAAAAAAATTCATATGTTGAAGGTGGATACTGGTGGCCGTCCATAAATTACGCGACGCACTATTTCGACATTTTGACCCCCCCCCCTTGTAACGCTTTGGTGACGTAGGTCCCTATCCTTTAACACGTAAAAACAAAATGGCGTAACACTCTCCTCGACCCCCCCGTGCCCCCTTACCGCGTTACGTAATTTATGGACTGCCCCATATGGAGGTTTCAACGATTCCTGCAGATATTGAGTTGTTATTCCATGAACAGACCGCTTTCTACGATAAATGTTCATCAGTTTGATTGACTCCACTTTTCCCAATGCCGGAAATGTCCTCGCTGACATTTATCACATTAGAAGTTGCTTCACAGAAAAATGGAAAATCATTTAAAATTTAAATATAATGAAATATAATTCGGAAAAAAATTCATCCAGAACCAATTTATTCAACTATTTTACTGTAATTTCTTTCAGACGGTCAATAAATGTTAAAATATATGTATAAGAAAATCAAATTATCGGGGTTAACCGTTTGATATTAAAGACGATTTTGGCCCTTTGTCAAAGGAATGGAGGGGATTTTTCGATTGACTAAGATTTTCTAGTCATCTTCATCTAGTCCATAAATTACGTAACGCTCTAGAGGGAGGGCCGAAGGGGGGATGAGGAGACCACGTTACGCCATTTTGTTTTTGCGTGTTTAAGGATAGGGTTATACACAAAAGCGTTACAAGAAGGGGAAGGGGGGAGGTCAAAAATTCCGAAAAAGTGCGTTATGTAATTTTATGGAAAGCCCCCTAGGTCTGCCTAAAAAATTGGAGAGAAAAAATCATTGAAGAACATTCATAGGTCATAAATCGATACAACTGCTACAAGTCTCACTTCTTCTTTATCATCAGTCTGTTTTAGGCCAAAGCACTTGAGAAATTCCGATGACCACAATGAATAAGCAAAGTTAGTTGTCATGGAGATATCACGTCAGGCTTACCCTTTTCTTGTAAAGAACTTTCGCTCGGGAAAAAGGGAACATGACAAACTTTGGAAAAACGCCGGGGGCAGCTAACTTTATTTTCTTCCTGTTGCGGACTGTGTCCTGTCTCCTGTGTCCAAGCGGCGAGCTGTGAGCCGTCAATGGTTTTTGCGTGCAATAGCTTGATATCGATTCGGCTACGACGGAGGCTTGGCCCAATCGCTCCGGGTATCGCAGAGGGTGAACTTGTTCGCTCAGCTGTGATCAATTGACTTCCGCTGTTATAACCTCACACTCGGGGGATCCAACACGCAGCTCCTCTTGGGCGTTTAGATTACTTCGAGCCGAATCACCACGAGAATACAACGTAAACATTTTTTACTCGTGATTCAAAGAAAGGTTTATTTTTTTTCGGGTCGTCAACTTTTAGGGGGAGTTTTTTAGGATTGGGCCGGGGTGGCTACCGCCACCTAGAATTATTGGGACATCTGACTCCAGATTCATCGATGAAACGATAGTAAGGATTCCACTTACAAGTGGATTACATTTTGCAACAAGGAATTACTATCTTTGGCTCTCCCATAAAATCACATACATGCATAGAGAAACCAATGGCATGTATGTTGTTTCTAAAATGGGCCAGAGATAGTGGTTCCTTATTGTAAAATATAATCCAAGTATCAACTAGCATGATTATAGGTCAAAATGTCCAAAAATAAATTTCCAGAGTAAAAAAAAGTCCAATATAAAAAAAGTCCATGAGTAAAAAGTGTCCAGGTATCTGGAATGTCCAGCTCCCAAACTTACTTTGTTGTCTCTTAGTCAAATTATGTCACACTTGAGCATTTTTGTTTTTGGCCGTATTACTGCTATTGGACGTGGTTTAGGCATGGACTTTTTAGACTTTGGACATTTATCCATGGATATGTTATCCAAATACCATTAATATCACCTCCGCACATTCAATTTCCCTCCCGGACCATCTTGAGTTAATGTGGATGGAACTCAGCGAATGGAATATGTGTATCTAGATTGAGAGTTTTGAAAAACTACACATGAGTAACGGTTCATAACTGGAAACATGTGTTACTTAGAGACGCTTAACAATTGGCAGACAAATACAAAGAAGCGCAGTAAGGGGACAAAATGCGCCCACAAAAAGCCATCAAGAGTCGGTCCATTAAACCCCGAAGCTATTTATTTTTATTTTTTTTTTTTTTTTTGTAAATAGGTTTCGTTTGCTTAGTGCGACTCCTGCTTTTTCATCTACTTGGAAAAGGGACCTATCTACAAAATACCAAAGAGAAAACGTTCTGTCTGTTTACCGAGAATAGAATAGAATCTGATCTCTTTTGGAAAACAAACGAATTATTCGTAAAATAATTCAAACTGAAAAGAAAAATTGACTGAAACGGATTTACATAAATATTAATCAGGCGTTTGAAAAAAGTTCTTCTACGGCTGATTTTTTCCTTTTTTTGCACAACTTTCATTATTCTGTAGCTGTGAAGGTTTTGTTAGCTCATTTTCCGCGGCACAGATCTTTGGGGGTGGAAAGTAAGGGAAGTATACATAGTTTTATTAAGTTTCTATTTTCCTCTCTTTTTTTTACTTTCGGGGTGGGTTTCACAATAAAATAATGGAATTGTTTTACCTTTTTGGGTACGCGTTTAAAAGTGAATGATTTCGAAACTTTCATTGTGAGCAAACTGGTTTTCATACTTACCGAAAAATTATCTCAATTTTCGGGCAAACATGGCTGTTAGATCCTTTAATTGCGATAATTTTACATTACACCGATCGTGCCCTCCAGTCTCCCTCGCAATCCCCACAACCACATGGATAATAGATACCCACCCCGGGCCGGCCTCGTGCGGCCGTATCGAGGCCATCTGAGCGCGAATTCCTACCTTGAGTGCCCTCACCCTTTCCCTCTCTCCATCTCCCTCCGATCCCCACCTTTTCCAACCGACAGAGCTTCATAATATTCTCGTGTGAAAAGACTTCACCAATCGGCAGGGTTGTCAAATTCGTCAAAAAAATGTTGAATAAATGCACGTATAAATAGTCCTGCCACCAAAGAATACCCGATAATTATTGAGGTTCCTCACTTTCATGGCAGGAAAGAGAGAGGATCTTTTTAGATTAAAAGGAGAAAAATCTCAACCTCCGGCGAATTTGCTTTTCCTATATACCTTCGTTGAAGAGGAGACAGTGCAAGCCAGGAACGATGAAATTCGGATTATTTAAGGTCGACTCTATTCATTCCCGCGGCGCCCGACCTCATCCAGCCTACACGGAGAGAAAAACTTCGTGCGTGGGACCCGAAGTTTGGGTCATATTGATCTCTGAAGTTTTCGGATTGAGCATCCGAACACTTAAGGTCCAGCTGCTGAGGTTTGGATCACACATCTGAAACTTCAGTTCATGCATCTGAAGTACTTCGGTTTTCACATCCGAAAAGATTCGGTTCTCACATCCGAAAAACTTCGGTTCTCACATCTGAAGTACTTCAGATGTAAGAACTGGAGTTTTAGATGAGTGATCCGAACCTCGACAGCTACACCTAAAGTGTTCAGATGCTCAATCCGAAAACTTCAGAGATCCATATGACCTAAACTTCAGGTCCCACGCACGAGGTTTTTTTTCTCCGTGTAAAGTAACCAAGAACAAAGCTTGGTACAGGCGATCTGGTTCACCTTTTATACTTAAAAAAATAATAATGATAAACGATAATTTTAATCAGAAAGAGTCAAATAGCTGCTAAAGAATATGGCACTTACTTGAAGAATCGATCTCCTGCCTTCCAACGTGACTCGCCAGCTCCTTCGCAAGATAGGTGAGTGTTTAAAGAGTGGTTGGCGTTGTCTTTGTCCGTGATATAGTCCTCAACACCGTACGCGTAGACCTTGATAGCCGTCGAAATTTCATTCACTAAACTATTTGTGCGCGTGTCAAAATGCACCCCTGTCAACAGATTCAAATAGTTACTGGTGAATTGTGTGCATTAGCAACAAAATAACTCAAATATCCGAAATGCTCCCATTAGGTTGAGTTCACTGGAAAAAAAAAACACATTGGATCTAGAGTCCAGACTCTTAAAAACATCGACAAGAAAAAGTACTCTTGATTCAATCAGAATCTAGCTTAAATTAAGAACCAAGCCTCTTAATTTAAGCGGATTTCGTTTTGATTCAAGCAAAAATCCGATTGAATCAAGAGTATTTTTTCTTGTCAATGTTTTCGAGAGTCTGGATTCCAGATCCAATGTGTTTTTTTTTTTTTTTTCCAGTGAGGGGCCAAATTTTTCCCGGTCCTTTCACCGTACTTAAATATACTTAGAAAGAGTCTCGGCTGCACATCAGTCCGGCTTAGCGCTTCTGATTGGCCAGTGGTGCGGTTTGGACTCACCGATGGATGTTGCAATAGTTGCACCTACTTATGAAAGTGCCGCCAAAGTTCAGAACCCATGGGCAAGATCCATCCATATAGGTCAGTCATTGCGCAGATTTCCCCGCTCGGGGTCAGCCCCTTTCCATTGGCTCGTGACGTCAGCATTACTGCCGCGAAAACCAGAAAAGTCGGAAACAATGCTTTTCTTATGGGAGAGAGCAAATTTTTCTTAATGAATCATTTAAATTTCTTACTTTTAAATCCTTTGAAACTTTCTGTGTGTCGAAAAGAACGTTTAGACATTAGCATTCAGGGTTTCGATTTTGCCGAATTTGTGTTCTTTCATTTTTACAGTTTACTCTGCATCAGCCATTTTTACACGCGAATCTATACCACTAGATGGCTTGTTACATCGCTGACTTCAAAAATCATTTAAAAATATAATAACGCAAATTCTGCTAAATTGAAACCCTGGACGCGAGTTTCTAAACGTTCTTTCCGACACTCAGAAAGTTTCAAACGATTTAAAAGTAAGAAATTTAAATGATTGGTTAAGAAAAATTTGCTTTCTCCCATAAGAAAAGCATTGTTTCCGACATTTCTGGTTTTCGCGGCAGTAATGCTGACGTCATGCGCAGAAGATTCTCATTTCGGTTTCGGGAATGACTGACCTATATGGATGGATCTTGCCCATGGGTGTGCAGATTTTCTAAGGTGGGCTCCGATTCGATATGACTGGCTGCATCAGTGCTCAAATAAGAGCTAGGTTGGTGCCAGTTTCTCAAAAAGATCCCAGCAAAGCAATTCAAATGCAGCTGCTCAATGTGGACATCCCCCTACCTCTCATTGCAATTCGTTTCCTAACTCAACTGCACACTGGAAAAAAAACACATTGGATCTAGAGTCCAGACTCTTGAAAACATTGACAAGAAAAAGCATCAATGATCAAGCTTGATTCAATCAAATTTAAGCTTAAATCAAAAGGAAATCCGCTCAAATTAAGAGGCTTGGTTCTCGATTTAAGCTTAAATCTGATCGAATCAAGAGTATTTTTTCTTGTCGATGTTTTTAAGAGTCTGGACTCTAGATCCAGTGTGGTTTTTTCCAGTGCATGTATACGTATTTTTTTATTTTTGTAGTTTTAATTTGCTTTCAAAATAGTGGGAAACCTAGCACATTGCTACCATGCAGAATTCGTGCCCCATTTCTGAGGTTCATTCCAGTTTAATTTAAATTGTCGAAAGAACAATGAATTTATTGGATTGAAAAATCAATGTGGCGATTTTTAACCTGACTCATCCTGGATTTCAAACGAATAGTTTTTACTAGCAGATGTGCAACTGTGCACCGGATGAAATTGAAGATTTTCTAAGCTGAATTGCAACATTGTAACATCGTTTGTTCGTACCTCTACTTAACCCTGGCAAACATGAAAACTTTCATCTCGATGCCTTTTGATCCTTGGTGATTAGAGAGGGCTGCGCTGCGATTGGGGGCGTAGAGGAATAATTTACCTCCTACTACTTTGATACTTCTGCTTAAATATTGATAAACCTGACGGTATAAACGGATAAAAAGTCACTGTTTCGAATTTCATTCCTTGTTCCTCTTTCTTGATTTGAAAGCAACACTACTCAGGTCGAGATCGACAGTAAAGGTGAGACAAACTCAGTTTTTATGAGACTCAGTTTTAAATAGATAAAAAGAGGAATTATATTTCACATTAGTAAGTCGAGAGATAGAAGAATATATTTAATAATATTTAAGTCCTGTACTGGTAAAGCAGCTCTTGAATATATTTATATCTAGATAAATAGGAGAAATATATTCAATAAACGATTTGCCTGACATTGGGTGTCGTAGAACGCCAGAGTGCGTTGTAAAGCGACTTTATATATATATTGTGGTGAAGTTTTATTAATTTCTGATGAGCAACAAATATTCAAGGTAACGAACAAAAATATAGTGAGACTCAGCACTCGGCTCAGGCCCAGAATAGGTTTTCTCCTTCTCTCTTTCTCTCTCCCAACCCCTCCGTATCTCCTTCTCCCTTCTCTCTTCGTCTCTCCTCTCTTCCTTCAAGCGGGCACCATTTCAAACTTTTCTGTCTAATAATCATGTGACTTCAGAGTCATTTGAAAGGCATAATCGGGAACATAGGCTTTGACGAATTACAAGTTAAGATTTAGTCACGTAATATTCCAACGTTCCAGGTTTTTAATTTTATTTCAGAAGATCGCTGATTTTTCCAGATTTGCAGGTATCTACACACCAAGTTATAATTTTTTCTCACGAGTCAGTTGTCAGTATTTCAGACACAGGCTCTCGGTAGGATCCCTAATCCGTATGATAATTTAAATTTTAGCTATCACTGCCAAATCAGTGATCATTGAGGCTAATTTTCTCTGTGTATCTAAGCGTTCGTTTACTATTCGGACTGTCTGCGGGCTGATTGTTGAAATTGGTAGACAAAGCTATAGACAAAGAAGACAAAAGGATATGGAAGGATGCTATTGGTGGAAGCGGGTGGTTTCTATGGACAAAGAAGAAAGGTGATAGACTAACTAACGGCAACCCACAATAGACCCTTCGCTTACTTCATTATTTTCTCCCTAAGTCTACAAGAGCCACCCATTTCAACCGAAAGGATCGCTCCATACTCCTTATGTCTTCTTTGTCTATAGCTTTGTCTATCATTTTCAACAATCAGCCTGAAGGAAGATGAACAGCCCAAATAGTAAACGAAAAATTGCATCATTATTCTACGTAGCGGGACAAAGTAAATGGTGTACTCGTACTCTGATACTATCAGGAGCTCTTTCTTTAAAAAGGAGCAAATCTTCACTGAATGCTGTGCAACTATAGTGTATTTCCGATTTTCATGAAAATAATATTGAGCAAAGAGGGCGTAAATCAACAAGAAAAGTAAGTAGAACGCAGCTAGTTACTGAGGCGCTCATATCTTAACAAAACGGCTCTGAAGTAAATGAGGATCATTATGTGGATGGCGCTTATCATTCAACTGGCTTGAGGAAGTTCCAGATCATTTTGAAATCCATCAACCTTCCGTAATTTAATAAAGAGAGAATTTCACGAGAGATTTGTCACCGTGGCAGAGAAGCGCAATGCAAATACATTCCTCGAGTGGATGAATGCAAGTTGGGGATAAAAAGGCGAAAAGTTTCATCTCGGAGTATAGCGGGCGGGTTAAATAGAGGGGACTTCCGGGAAGCTAAGTTTACCAAAAGCATACACCCAGTTTGTATGTTTGCCAGAGAGCTCTCAAACAAATGTATGCGCAGATGTTTACAAATGTACGTACTTTGCAGAAACTTTTTCGACAAATACTCCACTGATAGACAATAAGTCGTTAATATGAAGTTATAAATTCTTTCAAAAAAGGAACGAATTCAAGTCTTTATCGATAAACTTGTAATGTAGCATTGGCAGTAAGTATTGATTTACAGCTCGGACTCCAGTCGCATAGCTCCAACTTTATGATGCAACTTTTTTTCATCGGGCATTTTTGAAAGGAGCAATGATTGAAATGCGACTACTGCATGATTCTAACCCTCTTATTTGGAATGTGATCTTTGGCTATAAAAGCTTCCAGTGAGTCGTAGACGCGGGACTGATCTAATTGAATCACTTTGATGCAAAGCTCTGAAAGTACGCACATTCATGAATAATTAATTTGACATACTGACGCGAACCAAGACTTCGTAAAAAAAAAAAAAAACTTGCTGCCATGTTCTGGGCAAGATATTGCCAGATTGTATTGTAAGTTTACGCTCTCTAGTGACACAAGTTTAAGTGTACTTAACTACACGGAAAGAACAAATGTAGGGGTTAAGTCCCAAGCATGGCATGCTTCACGATGTATCGATTAATCCGTCATTTAAACCCATGAAAAAGGATCGATAAACAGGGTGTTCGCAACGAACACCTTAATCGATTCTTCACCATAGCTTTTGAAGGGAAAATATCGAAAATCGATCTTTTACGCCTCGCCACTGAACCGGGGGAGTTCTTACCGAGCATGCCGACGGGGAAGGAATAGGGTGGATCTTGGTGGTTCTCGATGACACTCTGCGTCACAATCCAGACGTAGTTCTCGCCGGTGATTTTCTTCTCCCTGGCCCAGGTCATTATGTGAATGGCCTCCTCCCGAGTTGCGTACAGGAGCATTACTCGCGCCTCCGAGTTGACAAGTTCGATTAGATCCGAGGCCTTCGTCACTAAGACCGCGTTCAAAATGTTGAACCTGTAACAGAACGACGCAATTATAATCCGAATAACTTGCCATTAGGACGTATTCCTGCCAAACGGAACCAGAGGCAGGGGAGAAATACGGGGTGCGCTCGTTACTAACGTTAGTTGAGGGCCGTAAGAATGAAATGCAAATTTTGATGTTTATTCCGGGTTTCAGCTGAGTTTTCTTTTAGAGGCAGATACGTCAAATTTTGAGCGTTTGGCTGCGCGTACACCTCGCTGCAGCACAATAAAAGCACAAAATGTAAAAGAAAAATTAAAGTTCTTTGGAAATCATTAAATTCGACACGGAGCCACCAATATTTAGAAAACACACATTATATTATTATTCTCCTTTGATAAATTGATACATATTTTTCCCCCATCAATTTAAATGAGAATAATCAATGCAGAGTGTGCAAACATTTCAAAATTCTGAGTTACAAACCGCTGACTATGCGAGTATAAATATAAGAGCCTAACAGAGTGGAGCGGCGTGCTGCCAGCGCGAGAGGCTCACTGGCGCCTACAAACCTAAGTGGATACTTCACGCATTGCACAATGCTTGAAGTATCCACTTAGGTTTGTAGGCGCCAATGCGCGTTTCGCGCTGGCCGCCCGCCCGCCGTGCGGCGGCGCCTGAAGAGGTTCACAACAGAGGTGAGAGGTGTTGCACAGTATAATACGAAATTGAACGTATTAAGAATAACAGGCATCCTTTAAAGGTACAGATCTTTCCTCGCAAAATAAATCAAGATACTTATCGTACACAGGAAAAATCTAGGAGCCTTTAGCTGAGGCAAATATAGAGGTTTATCCGGTTCAGGTATAACAAGTATTATTGTACTACTTACTAACATGTATTATTCTCCGTTGGACCAAACAGACAAAACAAAAAAATAAGCAAACCCTCATTTTTCCAGGACATTACACATTTTCATCCAAAAACGTCGTGAGCAATTGTCGTTTGTATTTACATGTGGGCCAATTAACTTTGGGTCTCAACTGGCACGTGGACGAAAACTGCCGTGTCCAAAAAACGTGTGGACGTAAATTATTGGGAAAAAACAGGTGCGCGGACAAAAAATCGTTGACGAAATGTCCTATAACCTTATTCCGTCACATTTTAAACTTTCAGAGGTACGGTTGGAAGGAAATTGCACGAGGAAACCAAGGGAACTACTTTTAGAACCTCAAATTTTAGTAAAAACGAAGTTATAAGCGTTTAAAATTTCCAAATTTTGTCCGGCCTCCCCCTTTTCTCGATCCACTGTGCGCCAGTGAAGTCAGCGGCAACGCGGGCGAAGCCGTCTCCGTTGTCGCTCTGCATTAACTTATGAGCCCTGTCCACCATACTCATTTGCCATTCCCAGGGCTCATGAGTGCCGCATTCAGTTCCCACATAGTTCCGTTTGACAGAATGTAAAATCCCGCTATTCCGTTTCTCTAGAGGGAATCACGCCCATTGTAACAATGTTTCTTATGCAGCTTTCTGGAGCACACCCCATCTTTTCCTCTCGTCAATAATTCCGTTTGGCAGAAATACTCGTGCGTCCAATTATAATCATGTCTGTTTTAATTCCAATTAAGTATAATAATCGGTTCTTTCTACCATATTGGTACTTCCTGAATTTTTCCATTTTTTATTCAACTCAAATAGATTACAAATTGCCTGCGAAATATCAATTCCATCAACAGGTATCCTCATGACTTCATTAGCCGGTAATAACTCTAAGGGCCGAAATTAGCCGAAAGCGCCAAAAAAAGTCGAAAATGGCTCGAACCTTCTGATAAACCAATCGAATAAATTTGGGAAAGACAGGCGTTTGTGCCTGACATGGAAGAGAGAGGAAAGAAGAAAGAGGAGAAGAGAGAGGTAACGATAAGAGGGAGGGAGGAAAATACTGGATATAGAAGCAGATCAACATTCTAGTAAATGTAAACTTAAAGTATCTATAAGTCTTAAAGTGAGAAAATCATATTTATTTTGCCGGCAAATTCAAACGCCCCATGCCTGCCTAAAACCATGCAGATTAAACCCGTTTTGCAAGCTTTGTGAATGAATGATGTAATGGAAGTGTCGATTTTCCATCGGCAAGTCTGCAATTACAACTTATCATGGTAAGAGGGAAAGATGTATGATAATTATAGCATTACTGATCCGCAGAACTTATATACTTCTTACTAACGGCTGATGAATGTTTTCATCACGAGTTGAAAATTTGGAATGGCTAATTCCACTGAAAAGTAAAATCACCAAAAACCACGGATTAAGTTGATTCTGGAAAAAATGTATACCTGTCCATATTCGCTGGAAAATTTTGAGGAGAAAATATTCCCCGAGGTAACTTAACCCTCGCCCTGTCAAAATCCTACCGCACTGATATTTTGTGTCAAAAATAAAAATAACAGCTAGGGGAAACTAATGTGCCAGGGTGAAATTAGTGGATGAGTAATGCGTATTCACATAGGCACGCGTGCGAGCAATGTCCCGATAATATAAGTTATAGTACATTCTCAGCATAGTGGACAAGCTTTTATTATCTGGACTGGATTATCTCTATCATTGACGGAGGGTTGCAAACTAAATGGACATCACATACTCCCGCGCCGCTAAAACTCTGGCTTTACATCCAGCGATACGAAGTAAACTTCCGGAACTACGAAAAGTTTTAAACTTGGACTGCACAGCCGTGAGCATCCACAGGAACCGAGTTACAGTGAGGCAATTCAACGTGTAGCTTAAAAAAAAGCCAGACGAGACCTTTCTAATCCTCCGAGGTGAATTAGGCAACACAGCCTGACAACTCGTTCAATTTATCGTTTCAATTTCGCTCCGCGCGCGATTTGCGTCGACTTTCGTGGATTCAATATTTGACCGAAATTAAAATGAACAAAAAAGATACCACGGTTAGAGGTTATGTAAAAAAGTGTTGTCGAAAGTCTGAATTATACATCATGTCTTCGTGTGTTTGGTCACAAAACATTACTAATACTATTGTACTACTACTAATAGACCACTAGACAAGGTACGAATTTTAGCACTCTGATACATGTTTCTTAACCAAAATTTTACGTAAAACACGATGCGCACAACGAAAATTACCGAAATCAACTCCTTAAGAAGATATTTAATGATTCTTAGCGTGTGAATTCAAATCACCCGCTTATGAAAACTCAATGCTCTACGTGAATCACATCGCGCGCTAATCGTTATCATGACAGTCTCTGCGATGTAAAAATCTGGCGACTTCAATCTTGACGTTTTGGCTCAGCTGTAGCAAATTGCTTATAGTTTGAACAACACATGGTGGGAAATGAACATTGCTCGATTGAGAGGCTTGCTGAAACCGTTGTAGTGCGCGATTTGACTCACGTAGAGCTTTGAGTTTTTTGTGAGCGGGCAGTTCAAATTCCTCGTGAACAATGTGAAATAAAAACGTTAATGTCTTCGTTAACAGCTGGTTTCAGTAATTTTTGTTGTAAGAATCGTGTTCTACGTAAAATTTTGGTTAAGAAACATGTATCAGAATGCTCAAATTCGTACCTTGTCTAGTGGTCCATTATATCTCTTGTAAAACTACGACGGCTGAGGTTGGGAGAGAGAAATGATCAGATGTGCTTCTTTGCATGTAATTTAGACGCAGATGACAGATTATCATAGTCTACTTTTGCTAACATTTTTTGGCCGGAAAATTTGCAGCGTGTGACCCGTGGTGTCGCAGTTGATAAGTCTGTGTACGGCCTACAATCCCCCCCCCCCTTTTAAAGTAAAAGCGCTAGCTTGTGCTCGTAGTTTATTTCTATTTTGTTCACTTTAAAAAAAATCAAAATTGAATCAAGTCAGTTCAATAATTGACATTTTTCTCACCTAGAAAGTATCGAATGAAAATACCAATATTTTAATAAGCTTACTCTCCTGTTTTTCGTTTTTTGTTTTTGTTTTTTTCCTTCTTTTCTTTCTAACTTACGTTCCGTTTCAAACATGGACGGAAATAAGTGACTGAATAATAATTGATGATGTATAACTTTAGGTTTTTACAACTATTCTGTTAACGTTTTTTTCGCTGTTATATTAACGACCTTGTCATTTTTCATACCGGTAACAGGAGAGGACGAGTTTGTAGATGGAGGGACGCCAAAATAGAAAAAGTTTATACCACCAAAACGGATCAAAGTATTATGCTCCTCCAAGTGCAGTGAATCATTTTCGGCTTCTTATAAGATGATTTTCATTCAAGATGGCTAAGCGTAATATTGTATGGGATGCACTTGAATGGTATGAAGAATTATCATTTCCGCATCGGTTCTCGAGGTTGGAACCTCAGAACCCTCCAACTTGGTGTATTTTTCATTTCTGAAGGAAGACATAGGAGCATTCAATTTTTCAAAAATAATTGACAACTTCTTGAGGCGGTTCCGGAGTGAATCAAATTGATGACTACAGACTCTGCTAGTGACTTGGAGAGGCAAGCGCCGGCGGCTGTGCGGGACGAAAATACGATCCACGCGAGATTGAACACAAACACAGTTTTTAAGTCCCTCTCAGCTTTCCGTCGAAGGAGAGGACTCAGACGTAGCCCTGACTCCCTCTTTTACCATATATGTATATTTCTGAAAACATATACTTGACCACGGCACGTGAAAGTGATTTTTCTCCGACCAATAAAGTCATCCAGTTTTTCTATTTTCAAGTTGCGCTACAACTTGCCGCGAACTAACAACTCTCTGCAATGCGATTTTTCTCGGCTCATTAATCAATGGCATGGCGTGCTTTGCGATATATCGAATGATCTGCCATTTAAAGCTATGGAAAATGATCGATAAACAGGGTGTTCGGGACGGAAACCTTAATAATCGATTCTTCACCATAGCTTCAAATGTAGAAATATCGATAATCGATTATTCACGCCACGCCATTGTCATTAATAAATGGAAAATCATTATCCATCCGGTTCTTTGGTGATTATATTTGGACCGTGTTGTGCAGAAAGGAACCAAACCACATCAGCTGTTGCCAACTTTAGTTGGGCAATTTAATTTTTTACATGAAAACAGTTGTGCGGTTTTTCGTACAAGTTTCGGCGAATTTTCTGCATTGTACGAATCAAATTCTTTTAAACTTTCAAAGAAATCCGCCAAACGATCTCTAGTAAAAAATTGAATTGCCCAGTTAAATTTGGCGTTAGCTGACGTGGCTTGGTTCCTTGCTGCTTGCCGCGGTCCATTTGTCCCTAATCCCGATCAGTGGTTTTAAGACGCAGGAATTCTGCAACTGGTATCTCCCTGACTCCATATTGTCAATGCTAAATTGCATTGCAAACTGAGCAGTTAGCATTAATGTGTTCCTTTGATAAAAGTATAGTCTTTCGAATGTCAATGCACACCACTTTTGAAACTTGTTCATCATGGTTGCCCAGTGCTGTGAGAGGTTTCAGGACATTTTGTCAACGATTTTTTGTCCAAAAGTTTACGCCCACACGTAAAATAAGCAACGGTGACTTGGTTCAAGCGTTATATTTCAGTCGGTAAAATTATATTGACAATATGGAAATTAGAAATTGAGAGAGAAGGAGGTATTGTTATGGTTGCTCATTTTCTAAATGAAATGTTATTACTTTCTCCTTTTGAGTCATCTTTTTAGATTGTCATTGGTGAATATTTGTTTGTTTGTTCTATCCTTAAAATATTCGATGTACAATATACCTTATATATGTATAGGTCCTTTTTTGTATTTTTTTTATTTTTCCTTTCGGAAATTATTACTTCATTTTTAAAACATTTATACTTTTAAAACGTGACAAATATTTGTAAAACCTTTTCCAAGCGACATTAATCTCAATAAGCCGCAGCTGTGCCGACAGAAACTGCAAAAATGAATAAAAGAGGGGAAAAAACCAGGAAGCACGCAATCTTTAGTTTTAACCCATTCGTACATCGATCTTAATTATAGAGTCAAATACGTCAAATTTTGAGCGTTTGGTTGCGCGTACACCTCGCTGAAGCACAATAAAAGCACAACATGTAAAAGAAAAAATTAAAGTGCTTTGGAAATCATAAAATTTGACACGGAACTATCAATATTTAAAAAAACACACATTATATTATTATTCTCCTTTGATAAATTGATACATATTTACTTCCCATCAATTCAAATGAGAATAATCAATGCAGAGTGTGCAAACATTTCAAAATCATGAGTTGAAAAACGCTGACTATGCGAGTATAAATATTAAAGCCTAAGAGAGCGGAGCGGCGTGCTACCAGTGCGGTAGCTCACTGGCGCCTACAAACCTAAGTGGATACTTCACGCATTGCACAATGCTTGAAGTATCCACGTAGGTTTGTAGGCGCCAATGCGCGTTTCGCGCTGGCCGCCTGCCCGCCGTGCGGCGGCGCGCGGCGCCTGAAGCAACTATTTCACAACAGAGGTGTTGCATAGTATTATGCAAAAAATTTAGCTCCAAAATGTCTGGTGCGTCAAAGTTAATAAACTTGATACACATACATACGAGTCGCTGTTACGGCGCTCTTTGGCGCTTTGCGACACCTAATCGCCACAAAGCTCGGTCTTCCCACAGGTTATCAGGGAGTTGACACTCCCTCATCTCACTTAACACCCCATGTCGCCAACCTCTCACTGGGCGTCCCCTACGCCTCCTCCCAGGAGGAACCCAATCAAGCATCTTTTTTCTTTTCTTTTTTTTTTATAAACTTGATACTTGACCTTAAACTGACGTCGAACGTACTACTGCTAAAAGGGAGATATCATTTGAGCCCTCCTTTTATTTGGAGCAACCTTGAATTATAGTAAAACGCGATGTAATCACCAGATAATCCTTTTAAGACAACACGAAGATATAATTTTCCACCGAGAGGAATGGTTTAAAAACAATAAACTAACCTAATCCGGGATTTTACGGTCGTGATTTAGATGGCTTTTTATTTCGATTGCAAGGACTAAAACGAGGAAGCAAAATGTAAAAAAAAAGAAAAAAAAGAAACGAGATTCGCCGATAGTTGAGCACCGCCATGCATCATATTGTCGTATTTATGCTAAAATAAACTATGTGCATAGGATTTGCGTGCAACATAGTTCCTTTTAGCATTATAATACGTTCATATGATTGTTACGATGAATTATCATGATAGATGCTTGAATCACTCAGGTTAGTTTCAGTGTTCTTCATAAAAGTAATGTGACTCACAAAGTTCGACATTTTTATATCCTGCTATTTTTAGCGATGATGGGACATTCAATTACCAACTGCTAGGTGTGACAGTTCAATTTTCTTTCTCTACAGACCTCCAGGTTTTGTCCAATGTTTGATATTTTATCGTTCGCGCACAAAATGCCCAAACTGGGCACCTTTGCGCTGTTCAATCATCGAGATCTGTGACCTAGAGGTGACGGGAAAAGATGGTAGTTTGGAAAAATCATCAAAGCGTTCCTCAACTTCTGCTAGGACGGCAAATATATACTCTTCAGAACTCAATATTCCTCACTGGTGCACAATCAAATATTTGATCAAGGGCGTATATTTGTCTGGGAAATTACGCAATATCTTTCATACTGCGCTGCTTCCTTTCAGGGGGCAGGAGATGAAAATTAAATTAAGAAACAAATCAAACAATCGCCAAAAAACGTAATAAAAATTAAATGATTTTTATAAAAATTCAAGCGCTATCCAATCACGTATAAAATTGAAATTTTTATTTTTTGAGAAAAAGAGCTTAGTCGAGCACAATTTTGCCTTTGAGAGAATTCCTTTTTGGAGAAATGATACCGATGTTGTTTCGCAATATAGATGTGAATATATTGACATTCCGACACACAAGCCACAAAAGTTCTGAGAACGTGAGTCTTTTAAGTCTGTTTCATCCGATTCATTAGACCGAGCAGATCGATAATACATTATTTAAAATAATTTATTGATTTTTCTCTTTTTCACAAAATTATTTGGACCCTCATAAACTCATCCTTTATTTCTGGCACAATCTTTTGTAAAGGTATGTAAATCAATTGGAGGACCAGGGTGTCAACTATGACAGGCTGACCAAAAATCAGGACTTTCACAGTACTTTTTCAGTACTTTCCCAAGAAATTCAGTACCTCCTCAACAGAAAAATTCGGTACTTTTTCAGTATCCATCCAATTGATCAAAGTCGGCAAATTTGAATTTTCCGTTCAAATTGTGATGAAAATGACAAAAAAAAAATTGAAAAATTCCAGACCTTCTCGCAAAATTCCGCACTTTTTCAGCACTTCCGGACCACCCATTAAAAATCAGTACTATTTCCGGACTTGTAGACACCCTGAGGACCCTTACTCTTGTTGTACTCAGGGTTGAGTGCATAAAAAAGGCAGCATTTGAAGCGGTGAGAAACACTGAAATCATGTGTTTCACACGACGCGGGTTTGTCAGGAAAATGTATTTCCACTCGAACCGATGGATTGGATTGTAGTGTTTCAGAAAGGAGGATCAGGTGGAAATATATTTACTTACTTGAATCGGTCCGCCATGAAAGTGACCCGCTCACGGACCGCTTGTATGAAATCGTCATGACCAGCGATCTGTGACGTCACAACGGAGAACTGATGCCATTTGTATCGCTCTAGGATGCTCAGCATAGCAGCAGTCTGGTGCTCTAGCGAAGGAGCCAGCTGTAGTTGAAGACTTGACTGGGATGCTCGCTGAAACAGAAAAATATCGGAAATTAACAGAAAAATAACAGAAATTTATCGGCATAATGTGACAACCTTGGTGCTAGCGCACAAGGAGGCCGGGCAGAAACACAAACTGGTAATTTTATTTGTAAAGCTCATTTGGTCTTGGCTTGAAGGTATACACTAGGAGTTGGCCATAATTTACATTGACTTGAATGCGACTTCCTCCTCTTCTTAAGAATGTCAATCCCTAGGTTTTTTCTTCTACTTTTTCTTTTTCTTATTCCAGGTTTTGTTTCACGGGTCGCGATTGCGTCGGCTCCTTCTCTTTACCGGTAAATCACGGCGAGAAAATTCAAAATGCCGGCGCGAAAGTAGGACAGACAAAGCGAGGAAATTACACACTAAGACCGTGACAAATGAAAAATGCCAGGGGTAGTGTCAGGAGAGGTACTCCCGACAATAATCATAAATCATGCATAATTCTTTCATTATGATGAGTGGCTGCATTTCCCTTTTCCATCTTCCTCCCGCCAGGGGAAAAACGCAAAAGAACCCGTGAGTTAGAATAAGCTTATCACGCTTATGACTTGTCACTTCAAAAGGCTTTGATTGCGTTAGAAAGGCCAGTTCGGAGGAAATAATATTTATAAGTATCTAAGGTTCTTCTGACAAAACACTCAGTTATTAGAAAATGGGGCTACTATTAAAGAAAAAAAGTAGAAAATATTAAAAGCTTTCAGATGAGACTTATTTTTACAGGATGCTATTATTGAAGTGCCTTTAAACGAAGAGTGCACGCTGTACGATTACCAGTCTCTGGGAGACCCTCCGGCGTTGATGATTCTGAAAAGTTGGTAACACTCTTTTACCCCTACTTAACTGTTTGTTTAACAATCGATTCTTGGTGATGCAGCCTGCCTCACCTTAAAGCAATATTTTCAATGGATTTAAATGGGTAAAAAACAGTGCCGCCAACTTCGCAAGATCGCCTCTGCCCTTTGGATAAAAAACGGTGATTATGTGGGATCGAGTAAGAAAGCAGTTAAATTGTTAATTACAACCTACTTCAGACGATTCTCAAAGATACCCACATTGAATTTCCAGAAAAAATAAAGAGGTAAAAAATCAAAACTACCCCCCGAACACTTTCAAATATTTATAAAACATTAAACGGATTCCTTTATCTCAGCAAACTACTCTTGGTTTTCTTCTCCGGAGCCCATTACAATTTTTATACTTTATTTGTAAGCTATCGATCAATGGTGGATTTGTAAAGTTATAAAAAAAGATTAGTGTAATCGATAAAATACTTATCACTGTCATCAAATCTATAAAATATGCGTACAGCTTGGCAGGATTGCCCGGTGATTCGTTTAAAAAAAAAAAAAAAAAAAAAAAAAAAAAAAAAAAAAAAAAAAAACTTTTGTGGACAGTTTGTGGAAGTGTATCGACAGTAAAACTACCCGACCATGTATCTCGTTTGCGATGCTTAAAAATCTCCGAGTTTATTGATTTTTTTGAAGGCGAACAAATTAATTACATTCCTTGAAAATTTCACAGAATTTCTACGCATTTAGAAGAAAAATAATGGAGGTTTCCAAGATCTGCCTTTAAGTTGTTTTCTATTTAAAAAATTAAGCATGACAGGAAGTTTGCAATGTTGCAAACGGATATACGTGGTCTGGTAGTTCTACCGTCGATATGATGATCTTTAGCTGTGTTATGCGCACGGACGTGTATGATTGTAATTTTGCAAGAAAGGAAAATAAAATCACGTACTTCGCCATCGAGTAGGTACCTTGAGTCTTAATAAAATGTTAAAGCTCGAAAACCCTTAATGTTTTATTCGGCTCCGATCCCTGCGTGTTGACATTTTTTTAGTGACGAATCTAATGCAACTCCATCCGTGAATTGCATACCGCGCTTGCACGTAATAGGGTGTGAGATAACTTTACTATGTCGCTTCCGCGAGTCAACGCCTAAATTCGATTCGCGGACGTAAAATCTCATGAGAGGGTTTCCGGGGAAAATGCATGAACGGTGCCAGCTTGCTCCAATACAACTTTTTTGCGCGGAAAAGATGAATAAATAAAACCCGAATCGGTCCCTCTGCGCACGGAGAGGAATATGCGTTGAAAATATGAATTAGTTTTTTACACAGGAGGTGGCTAAATTTATGATCCGTTGGTCATGGTCAGAATGCAGATTGCATTTGAATGGTGAACCGGAAGCAACTTTTTGCCGTGTTCATACTATTCATGTTTCCAATTCATGCCCTCTGCTCTATATTCCCTTGTGTATAATGGACCACTACCCAAGGTACGACATTAAAAATTCTGATACATGTTTCTTAACCAGAATCTCCCGTAAAACACGATTATTGCAGTGAAAATTACTGAAATCAACTCCTAACTAAGATATTAGCGTTTATATTTTACACTGGTACCGAGAAATTTAAATTGTCCGGTCACCAAAAGCGCAATACTCTGCTTGAGTCAATTAGTGCCTTACCAAGATTTTGCCAGGCTTCTCGATCGAGGATTTTTCATTTCCCACCCTTAAATTTTTAAAGTGTAGGCAATTTGCAATAGCTGAGCAAAAGCGTCAAGATTGAGGTTGCCGTATTTGCTTGTCGCAGAGACTGTTTAAGATGCGATTTTGCTCACACGTAAGCCATTGCATTTTCATGAGCAAGACGTTTCAATTCACGCGTCGAGAAATACTGAATATATATTGGTTGGGAGTTAATGTTAGTAACTTTCGTTGCGCGAATCGTGTTTTACGTGAAATTATGGGTAACTTCGTACCTTGTCTGGTGGTTCATTCCATTTTCGACTAAATGCTACTGTTGCACGTGAGAGATACGCCCAAATAAGAAGAGCCCTCTAAAATAGGCCTATCTAGTGGGAAAAAGTAACTGACGCGCGATATTTTGTGTTTCTATGGGTGTAGAACACAAAATCAAAGCAGCTAATATACTTTGGTTGATTTTTCTCTGGATCTCTCAGAGCAAGTATTTGCATTACATTTGCCCGAATCGTCGGGTTACGTTTTTGCATCCTCGTTAATAATCAGCCGGAAACCGCCAGGATTGACCTTGTATCATGATGAGTGAGGGTCTGATGCGCTAGCCACTTGCAACTCGCAACCTCTGATTGACATAATCGGGAAATAGAAGTGCGTATATATTAATGGGAGCAGGGCACTTTCTTCATCCTTAGATGTTTCATACTAACCTGCAGTTTCGATTCATTCAACCAGAATTTGGTCGATCAATCGATTTTTTTTTGGTTGATCTGACCGGTAAAAAGTAACTCAGAGTGAACCAAAGTAACCATAAGCACGGAAATTCTTAACTATTAATACGTTCAAAGCCCACCCCCAAACGCACAATTTGCGTAATCTGAATTGTACACATTTTAAAATTTACCGCGTTCTCAGGAACCTTCTTCTTGGTCACCGGACATCCCATTTAGGTCCGTCCCTACATTACGTGATGCTCTGAGGGGGAAGGGGGGGGGGGTGTTAGGGGCCTTTGCCAGCTTTACTTGGAGTGGCGGCATGGAGCGAAGGTTTACGTTACGAGTTTAAATAATTTTTTTTTTTTTTTCAATTTTCTGCAGAATTTTTCGTCGGTTCTCCTCAAAAGTCTTAAGGAATCTCGAAAAAATTCTCTGCAATACTTTCACTTTTCCTCAATAAATAGAAACGCCAATTTGGTAAGTAACTGTGAAGTGATACTTATGTTATTTTTATATTATATATTTTCAAATATTTTATCGAAGTGGGGGAGGGAGGGTTTGGGCAAGTATGACATAATTTTTAGGGAGGGGGTCTAGCACAGCGTTACGGAGCATTAAAAGAGGGTGGGGATATCAAAAAACCGCAAATTTAGCGTTACGTCAGTTTCAGATGACCCTTTGCTCAAAATAAAACGTAAGATGACCTGGCCAAAAGGGAACAAGAAGTCCAGCTAATTGTTGCTCACGCACGATTTCACTCGTTTTAAAGTGTCTGATTCCTTCCTCTTCTTTTGAGTGTGAGTTGGTAGTATTTTTGAATTTAACTAAGCGCACATTTCCTCTTGTCGAAAATTCAAAGTCGAAAAACTATTTTGCACTAATAAATGATTTTTAAACTTTGTTCTTAGCACTGAGTCTTGAAGAGAAATAAATTCTGAAGCATGTTTTTTTCGGCTTAACCTTGATGCAACATCGTTTGCATGGGCCAAGTTGTTTAAGTGACGTATTTTTCTGATTGTAAGGTGAGAAAAAGAACCTACGTAGATAAAGTTAAAATAAAACTTCAGAAGACAGACACACAAATGGGTAAAGGGGATTTAAAATAAGATAGCTGCAGAAAATTTAAAGGAATAGTGAGCAATTAGGCCTATACTCTTACCAATTAAAAAGGACTGTCGGAAGCGCCAAAGGATTCAGAATTGAGCTTTTAGTTGTTAAAGTATGGATAGCGTTCCGACATAAATTGAATTTAAGAATCGCTGCTATTTTTAGCTCGATTTAACTTTGAGGCCCTCAAATGGCTTATGTTGGCAATTAACCATTCCCCCCATCTATTCTTAAACGTTAAGGACGTAGAGAGTAATTCGAAAAATAACGGCTGCTTGTAAAATTAAGGATGTTTAGATTAAAGTTATAAAGAACTTGAGCTTTAAACCAACAAAAAATTAATATAATTACAACAGCCTCTTCGTCTCTTGCGAAAATTATTGGCGGCGAAAAAAAGTTGCCGGATTGCTTCCAGTAAGACTGCATTATAAAGACTCAGTTTGGGGGTGCATTTCAGTGTGATAAACGAGGTGTCACATCGTTTGCGGCTGGTGCACCTGCGTGTGATTACGCGAAATAATTACGCTGACTTCTGCTCGACGGTGCTCCAGAAATTCCTTGACTTTTCCTGACTTCTCGAGTTCGCTATAAATCCCTGATTTTTTGGGTTCTTCGGGCCTTTTTTTTGATTCCCTGAATTTTCCTGATTTTTTGGCTTTTCCCTGACTCCGAAATTTCCAAAACTCTTGACCTTCCCTGACACTTGAATAAAACTTTCATCTCGATTTATTTTCTTTTAATTTCGCTAACCTCTGCTAGACGTTGCTCAAGACATTTCCTGACTTCCCGAGGTCGCCGTAAATCCCTGATTTTTTAGGTCCTTCAAGCTGCCGCCGGAAACCCTTTGATAATGCATCGATTCACATCTGTTCAAATGTTACCGTGCTAAAGCAGTCTTCCAAAAAAAGATTGCAACACACCGTTGAGCTTACTGATCTTGCTTACTCCGCCAAAAGACATTTCATACTCCCCCAAGTACTCAGAACCGTCTCCCGCATTTCTACCTCGCAATATTTAATCTCCGACACAACCCTTGCGGGCTGATTATTGAAATTGATACAGACAAAGCGATAGACAAGGAAGACAAAGAGAGTATGGAGCGATCCTAATGGTTGAAATGGTTAGTTCCTATGGACTAAGGGGGAAAATGATAGACTAACTATAGGTTCTCTCGTGGATTGTTGTTGGTTAGTCTATTCATCTACCTGCTTTGTCCATTGCAACCACCCCCTTTCCACGAATGGGAGCCCTCCATATGGATTAAATTTTGCAAAAAGGAACCACTATCTTTGGCTCTCCCATGAAAGCACTTATCTGCATAGGGAAACCAATGGCATGAATGTTGTATCTAAGATGGGCCAGAGATGGTGGTTCCTTATTGCAAAATGTAATCCATATACCTTTTGTCTTCTTTGTCTATAGCTTTGTCCATAAATTTCAACGATCAGCCCGCTGTTAAATCTGACGTATGATTGTCGTAGGATGAACCCGCATCCTCAGACTATGGTTACTATATAAGGGTTGCAACTCCCCCGTGACAAAATATGACTTTCTTGCGGACAGTTCGGCAATGAGGCTCTTAATTTATGAGCTTGGCATATCGTTCATTCGTCTCGGTGGACTGAAAGACGGGGAAAAGTAATTTTGTCGGGAAGCCAGTAATCGGTTCGCCGTTTATTAGGCATCAGCCCCAAGACGCTCCACCGAGCGTCGGCCCGCCCACACCCCCACCGCCCTCGTCCACATCGCGCTCCGACGCGCCCTGAGAAAATTTCGAGAGAAAGACTCCTTGCACTAACCTCGCTTCTCCGCCAAGCGCAACTCCTTACAGGTGGTTTCTTCCT